ATTAAAAAAACAAAACAGGTAGCCCATTTGAATTAGGACATTTAGGCTATCCATCTAATAGTAGCCTACCAAAATCTTATTAACAGTCGAAGTTAAATCTTACTGTAGTCTTCAAATCTGGGTACTGTCTTACGTTTTAAAATCACAAAGGCCATCAGGTTAACGTGACAGTCACGACTCATGCAGCTTTAAGGTTTTCTGCTTCTTTTGTTTTTACTTGCGCTCTTTACAACACGCATTACATTACGTATTTCATGGCACACTCGTTTTATGCGGTTTTGGCGCCACCTATTGTTGTGGGTGTATTATTGACATGTCAAAGTCTAGACCCTGAATATAAGACGACCGCGTTTTTTCAGATGTATTTCCAAGAAAAAAACATCGTCTTATATTCGGGACAATACGGTACATTCAGTCTGTGTGCAGTTTCTGTATTGCCAAAAACGGACCGAATTTGCATGCCCTGCTGTAAATTTTGTCCGGTTGATGAAAAACAAGCTTATGTGGATTCTACACATTTAAACAATTCAGATAAGTTATCTAGAATTATTTATGAAGCAGATAAAATACATATAATCATTTATTAATCAATTATCATTTTGACTTATATCTCTTCTTTATTTAAAGGCTGAAAGTTGAGGTTTACCTTTTTATGAAACTTTTTCAAAGCTTTATTTGAACATTTACATTAGATATTTCAACATGCTATTAAACTGTTGTCAGTCAAGTTGTCATTTAAAATCCGAACATCATTGGTAATGTTATTGTTTTAGTGATTATGCAAACAAAAAGTCATTTTATTTGTTGATTTTTAAATATAAAACTTGCTAAAGTGATTTATGTTTGGGTACTTTTTGAACATCTCCAGCACATTTTAACAATACCGTGATAATGCTGATAACCGTGATAATTTTGGTCACTATAATCGTGATAAGAAATTTTCATACCGTTACATCCCTAATGGTGCTCTTCATTCACACATCACATACTCTATTTAAATGATGAAATGAGATGCTGTCATTTATAGAATATTCATTTGTATGCAGAATACTCGCAAACACTCTCCCAGCTATGGCCCTGTTTCTTTTCCTGATCATATTATCTCGGTCAGGCGAGAACTGCTAAATGCCCAAAAGTGATCTCTTTCTCCCTCCCTATCCCTGTCCCACCCCCCTTTTCTCTGCCCTCCCCCAATTTTCCTCCTTTCCTTTTCCATCCATTTAACCCCGTCTTTCTCTCTCTGTTCCCCTCCGTCTCCCTTGCTCTTTATGTGTGTCTGCGGGGCTGGGCAAGGCCAACTCTCAGGTACTATTGCCGACCGTTCTCCTCCTCTGACCTTTGCTTTCTGGCCTGGCCCTGCACACAAGGGACCCCTGCTTTACCTCAGGCGTCCTGTACATTGTTACTGTGAAATAGCGCATATATATTAAGAATTAGGTGTTTTTCTCCCAGCCCAATAGATGATCTATTTTCCATGTTGGGAGCATGTTGCATGTTGACTTGCTATGCCATTTTAATTATATTGTATTTATCAGTCACAAGTAGGTGGTAACCCTCTGTTAGTTATAATTTCCAACCAGTACGCAACATATTGTGAATCATAATGTTCTCTGTGTGCAAGGGATATGGCGAGAGTTGAGGTGGGACACTAGAAAGTGCTCTCACATTATTTATTTGCTTGCTTTTCATTTTTTGTTGCCCTGAGGGTTATTGAAGCCTTTAGCTTTCATGTTAGCCTGTGCAAAGTTAGGCTGAAAAGGCAACTGCAATTTGACATTAAATTGAACAAGAGTGCTTTGGAATTTTTTTTTTTTGCCAGGTCAGTTGTAAAGATATGTTAGTGCAGTAAGGTATTATTCCACGAAATACATATTTCACATAATTCAATTCATATGAAGGCCATTAGCATTAACATTTTATTCCTCATCCTTTGGTTAATATTTTGAATCCCTTTACTTTTTAATCAACTTTGACCATCAATTCTGCTTTTTTTGCTAAATTTTTCAAATCCTCTCTCCCTTACCCATTATGTTTTTTCCATCCCTTTTTCTGTCCCTCTCTTTTCTGTTTCTGTCTCCATCTTTCTCTGTTTCTCAGATCACAATCAGCAAAGGGGAGGAGTGTGTACTGGAGGATAACTCTCAGAGGACTAAGTGGAAGGTCATCAGTCCCACAGGAAATGAGGCCATGGTGCCATCTGTGTGTTTCACCATTCCTCCCCCTAATCAGGAAGCCATCGACACTGCCAGCAGGTACAGCACACAGATCCTTACAGGTTCCTTATAAACACGTTAATTAGGATCTCACACACATTCAGGAATATGTCTTCTGTAATGTGGCATATTTTTGAGTGAAACAATGTATGGCATAGAAATAACACGCTGTGCATAGGTTTATGCAATGGAAATGAATTACACACACACAAAAAAAATGTTTCGCTTTTGGCCCAGTAAGTAGCCACTCAGAAGTACTATTAAACTAAACTTAACTTAAAATTGTTTTCATTAATTTAAATAAAGCTGAAATAAAATATAAATATCAGATGAAAAACTTCAACTTTAAAATTAAAAAAATGTTGAAATAAAATAAGTCTAAGTACAGTACAGTACAAAAATTACTAAAACTATAACTGAACTAAAAATAAAGCTAAATAGAAATATAAAAAAAATGACAAAAGCATATAAAATGACTAAAACTTATAAAATAAAAACTGAAAATATAAAAATGAAAGCTAATTCAAAATATGAATAAATACAACAATAGTATGTCAATAATATTAAAATAACACTGGGACAAACACCACTCAAGTTGTCTTGGGCAAAATTTATTTATTAGTTTATTTTTTAAGAATGATGAATTGTGCACTATAACACCAACACCAATTATTAGGAAAGATATATATAATTATTAAGATAATTCATATATTTTGCATTGTATTTGTATTATGTTGTATTGGCTTTTTTGTTTCATAACTATGTAAACTATGTAAGATTTAATTTTCTCTTTGTGTAGAATGGAGCAGATGTACCAGAACATCATGTCTCTATGGCACCAGCTGCATGTCAACATGAAGAGCGTGGTCTCCTGGCACTACCTGCAGAAAGACATACGAAATATTTCCTCCTGGAGTCTGGACACAGTTAGTACCACAAAGTTCCACCAATTTCCCATATACTCTCTTATTGGGACTCTTTCAGAGGTTTGTCATAATCATTTGTCTGTCTCTCTAGATGCGCTTGCAGGCTCCAGCAGAGAGGCAGCAGGCTTTAGACAACCTTGACGCCCACTTGTCCGACTTCCTTACGGACAGTCACGAGAGCTCCCTTTTCACGCCAACTGAACGCTGTGAGCTAGAGCGAGAAGCTGAGAACTGCCGGGAACATTGCCAAGCACTGCAGGTCTCTTTGGAGACAGGTAAGATGTTACGGTGTTCATGAGTGTATTGATTACTTGCTATGAAATAGTGCTCCGATCAGGATTTTTGAGGCCGATCACCGATCACAGAAAGCAGTATCTGCCGATACCGATCACCGAAACCAATCTTTTTAAAGCCTTCTTTTTATCATTTATAACTATTTATAATGATATTCCAATCAGGATTTTTAGACATTTATTCAGGGCCTGAATTTCATTTTTGAAAATGGGGGGAATTCCCCTCTTAGTCAACTCTTGTGAGAGGGGAAGAAGCACTGACCTTTTGCATTGAAATCTTTATTACAAGCAATCCTGCGGTTCATAAAGAACTTTCCTACCTTTTCCTACCTCCACGAGTGCCATCTATTATTGCCTTGTTGATCTAAAAGTGCTCTTTTCCTTTAAACCTAGCCAAAAAGCCATATGTGTTGATTGTGAAACACAGTAGACTTTAATCCAAGTGCGAGCGCTGAATGGTTAAACACTGGCAAGAATTCAAATGTAATGCAATTTATAAACTTTAGTGACGATGTGACACTGCCTCAATTGTGCAAGTGATAATTCCTGTGTCAACTGTGCAGCGTGTAGCTCGCTTATAGACAGACGCGATGTGTGGTGATTTGAAGCCATTTGCGTATTTTGAGAGAGAGAGAGAGAGAGAGCGCGTGCGGTGATTCACTCACGCTGTTTGTGAAATTACGTCTCACACAAGGGTTTCAAATTACTTTATAAGTTATTTAATGAAGAAATATGATAATTATTTCAGCATTATAATTATTTCACCCACTCTACAAACACAACATTTATCCATTATATTGATTTCAAATCCAAACGTTGTTACTGAAAATGATTTTTCAGCATTGTAAGTCTCTTTTTACACAGTACAGTAGTACAATCTTTCATAAATTGTTCAATGCTTTTTACTTTTGCATTTACTTCTAGATTTATATATTAATAAGTTGCTCCAGCAAGTGTCAAAACATTTAAACTCCTTTACTTACGTTATCACAAACTTGCCATTGACAGAAATAGTCAGCTCTACTGCCTTTTCTTTTGCATTGAAATCTTTATTACAAGCAATCCTGCGGTTCATAAAGAACTTTCCTACCTTTTCCTACCTCCACGAGTGCCATCTATTATTGCCTTGTTGATCTAAAAGTGCTCTTTTCCTTTAAACCTAGCCAAAAAGCCATATGTGTTGACGGTAAAACACAGTAGACTTTAATAATATGCATGCATGGTGTAATTACTACATTTTCGTGTCAATCCATGTTCATATTTACTGCGAACAATGTGCTGTTACCTTAATTCAACGCGAAAT